CATCAACTTTACACCCCACCCCCCCTAAAGAACATTTATACCTTCAGTGAACACCAGCTGTTAAGATCCATCAACTTTACACCCCCATAAAGAACATTTATACCTTCAGTGAACACCAGCTGTTAAGATCCATCAACTTTACACCCCCCCCCTAAAGAACATTTATACCTTCAGTGAACACCAGATGTTAAGATCCATCAACTTTACATCCCCCCTAAAGAACATTTATACCTTCAGTGAACACCAGCTGTTAAGATCCATCAACTTTACACCCGTCTAAAGAACATTTATACCTTCAGTGAACACCAGCTGTTAAGATCCATCAACTTTACACCCCCCCCTAAAGAACATTTATACCTTCTGTGAACACCAGCTGTTAAGATCCATCAACTTTACACCCCCCCAAAGAACATTTATACCTTCAGTGAACACCAGCTGTTAAGATCTATCAACTTTACACTCCCCCCTAAAGAACATTTATACCTTTAGTGAACACCAGCTGTTAAGATCCATCAACTTTACACCCCCCCTAAAGAACATTTATATCTTCTGTGAACACCAGCGTACAGATCCATCAACTTTAGACCCCTCCCCCCCAAGAACATTTATACCTTCAGTGAACACCAGCTGTTAAGATCCATCAACTTTACACCCCCCCCCCCCCTAAAGAACATTTATACTTAAAGATGAAGCAGGTATAATGTAATACGAGTGTTATCAACATTGTGTATCCACCTGAACTTTCAAGATAGTCACCACCATTCACTCAACAAATAAGTTTAATAATGATTATATATTTTTGCAGAACCCTTAAACCCCAATTTAAATTAGACCTAGAACAAAAACAATCATAATGTCACTACTCCGTGTACAGTCAACATATCTGACAAGATACATAAAACCTGCATTTTTCCCTCTCTTTAATAGCACCCTGAATTTGTATAGCCAGACTTTCAGAGTTTGCCTTTTTTCACACATTGAGACTGTTTTCAAATAAAAACATTAACTTTGTTTTAGATTGTGTGGAGTAGCATTCTGTCTTTAGTTTTCACAAAAAATTATGAGAAAGGTCAATATAGTAATGAGCACTTAAAATTCAAAAAAACAAAAACATTGTTTTGGCTGTAGATGATAAAGAATGTCTTAGGCAACAATTTTTCAAAATAAGTCCAAAAGATAAGTCGCTGTTATCAGTAATTTCTTTCCTGTATTAGTTGCCTTACTTGTACCGTATTTGCTCTATTAGAAGTTACATCTCCAATATCAAGACACATAACTCAAAAATGTCATTAATTGTGTACTGTGTCATTAAAATCTGACTTAATAGTTTGAATATTGTCAAACTTCTGACATTAAACACTAGTAATAGAGCAGATTTGCTGAACTGAAACTTGTGAAATGTAATGTATTTTCTCATGTGATATGTTTCCACTTTTAAGGGTCCATCATGTAGAAGCTGTCAACTTTAAAGTTGCATTCTGAGATCATTCCTGGATCTGTATTGGGATGTCAAATGATTGATGGGAAATATGTACATGTGTATTAAGCTTTTATTTTATTTTGTTAGTATTTAAATGTTGGCAATCTTTTCAATTGTGGCCAGTAGTATAATATGGTTAGCCTAAATTTAGCCACCTGATAGGCTGAAGCATCCTAGCCTGAAACTGAATAAACTGATATTACTATTCTGTAAAATACTTTATTTTAGCTGGAATTATATATGCGTTGTTGCCACTAGCCAGTCTGTTGTCTATTTCATTAATGCTTTGTTGCCGGTATTATCTCCTGTCAAATATACTCATTTTTACACTCAAGAAAGGTTTAACTTCTATCTACTACATGTACCAAATACCCTCTCTTGCCATTTATAAAATCTAAATCTTTCCCACAATTCACGCATAATCATACTATCCCAATACCTCTATAAGGCTATAGGATTAATCTTGGAGTACATTTTTATAAAGTAACAATTTCTCATTTTAAACCATTGTACCCAGTACCTGTAAAAATAAATGAAACCATTGGTTTGTCACATTGCAAAACATACTAATCCATTCTTATACCTATAACAATAAATCTTCTTTTCATTGTCATCATGCTATTGTTATCTGTATTGTATTCCAAATAGATCTCATTCATTGTCTTTTGTACTATATTTCGGTTTTATTGTATGATCTTTTCCTATTCCTCTATTTAGAAAAGTAAAGTGGTGAGTAGTTTCTATTGACTTTGGTTTGCTTTTTTCTTGTAACTAACACTAATATTCCTCTTAAAAAGCCAAACATTTATTTTACGTGTCCCATATATATATCAATTAGACTTGTTATTTTGAATTGAATTTTAATATAGTCATTTGTTACCTTGATCTTTTGTGTGTGTCGGCCATTTTGGATTTGGTGCCTTATTATCTTGAATTGACCTTCCCATTCACTAGTTATAGCAACCTTATTGTTATCTTGAGCTGACTTACTATATGTCAGCCATGTTGGATTCAATACCTTTTTCCTGGAATTGACCTTCCGATGAGCTGAAGCAGTCTGATTGAATTTTAATATAGTCATTTGTTACCTTTTTTGTGTGTGTCAGCCATTTTGGATTTGGTACCTTGAATTGACCTATTTGTATGTCAGCCATATTGGATTTGGTATTTTTTTTATTGAATTAACCCTTCCTGTATGTCGACCATGTTTGATTTGGTGCCTTGTCACCTTGAATTGATGTTTTCTGTAATTCTGCCATGTTGTCAGTCAACCAAATTATCTGTAATTGACCTTTGCCAGTTGGTATCATTCAAGCCTGTTTTGTATATTTATTAAGGAATGTCCCTAAATATGTAAATGGCATTCATTTAGGTTAAATTTCTACAGGCTAGTCATTATTTCATCATTAAATACAAATTTCACACTTTTTGGTTTTAAAGTACCGGTACATGTATATGCATATTTTAGTCAGACCATTACTCTTGACCATACTTACATAATTTAATATTTTATATATTATATTTACATATAAAACTTTTTTCTTTTTTTTTCTTGTTTATTAATATTAAAATCTGTATTAGAAGCCGCATCTCTAATAGAAGTTGCATCATTTGTTTTTAATAATTGAGAACCCGAAATTTATCATTTCTCATATGTGTAAATGCTCTAATAGAGACCGCATCTCCTCTGTTGCATTGTATCATTTCAATAGAAGCCGCGGCTTTTAATACAGATTTTACAGTATTTGAAATGCTTTTAGTGTAAGGTGTTAATGAATTGTTGAATGGAGAGTTGTTTGAATGTGCTTACTAAGAATGCTTCTATGATTGATTTTGATTTGTACCTAACCCACTCGACAGAAACTCATACAAATCTGCACTTATTTTTGATACTCTATTTATCATAGAGAATCTGTTAAAAATGTACTGTGACATGTCTAGAATCAGTCACGTTCTTGTCACTCAATACTGTGACTTCACTTATGATGATGATAATAATATCTCATTACCCATTCATTAATGTTAAACATGTATTTTAAGAGATGTCATCCGCAGCTATATGGCATTCCAGTATATATGTGCCTGGTACAATGCTAGTAATATCTTTTTACCTATTCAGTGTTAACCCTTTGATCACCAATGCGAATTCTGTCACTTTTCATAAATAACAAAAAATTTTAAACAATACCTGTAGTCAATGAGAAATTATGTCTATTGTGACCAAAATTAACAACTAAACTATAGACTATTCATAGGAATGACATACCAAAATATTGCACTTAGCCATAAATGCACATCTCCAATAGAAATGCATAGAAACCATAGAAGCACATCTCCAATAGAAATACATAAAAACCATAGAAGTGCATCTCAAATAGAAATGCATAGAAACCATAGAAGCACATCTCCAATAGAAATGCATAGAAACCATAGAAGCTCATCTCAAATAGAAATGCATAGAAACCATAGAAGCGCATCTCCAATAGAAATGCATAGAAACCATAGAAGCGCATTTCCAATAGAAATGCATAGAAACCATAGAAGCACATCTCCAATAGAAATGCATAGAAACCATAGAAGCGCATCTCCAATAGAAATGCATAGAAACCATAGAAGTGCATCTCAAATAGAAATGCATAGAAACCATAGAAGCACATCTCCAATAGAAATGCATAGAAACCATAGAAGCGCATCTCCAATAGAAATGCATAGAAACCATAGAAGTGCATCTCAAATAGAAATGCATAGAAACCATAGAAGTGCATCTCAAATAGAAATGCATAGAAACCATAGAAGCACATCTCCAATAGAAATGCATAGAAACCATAGAAGCGCATCTCCAATAGAAATACATAAAAACCATAGAAGTGCATCTCAAATAGAAATGCATAGAAACCATAGAAGCACATCTCCAATAGAAATGCATAGAACCCATAGAAGCGCATCTCCAATAGAAATGCATAGAAACCATAGAAGCACATCTCCAATAGAAATGCATAGAAACCATAGAAGCACATCTCCAATAGAAATGCATACAAACAATAGAAGCTCATCTCCAATAGAAATGCATAGAAACCATAGAAGCACATCTCCAATAGAAATGCATACAAACCATAGAAGCTCATCTCCAATAGAAATGCATAGAAACCATAGAAGCTCATCTCCAATAGAATCCTTGTATCTCAATAAGTAACTGTGTGCTGTAATATTGCGCAGGATATGTACATCTTGCCTTACAAATGATTCTGTTGATACTTCAAGATACTTCAAAATACAATAACAATAGGAACTTCCATTAATTTTTACCACCTTTTCCCAATTATGGGTTTCATGTACTGAGCAAAAAGTCAGGAAGACGTATACATGTAAAACTACATGTAACCTTATTATGAGGATATTGACAAGTATTTGTGAAGCTTGTATACAGTCTCATCAACTTTCACTATTACTCCTGTACTGTCTTACCGTAGTTCCCATAATAATCTTATAATACTACAAACAGAATAATGAATTTGATCTAGATCAGTGAGAATAACATATTAAAACAAAGACTTTAATACATTTATAGATTACTATGTACTAGCAATTGTTTTTTACTAATTAAAAAGAAGACTTTTCCGTCTGAGTCGTGTAACTAATCTACTTTATTTTAAAAGTATTGATTGTATAATTATTGTTTTGTTTATTCCTGTTTCTCAGGTTATTTCATTAACTGAAGTTTTTGGTCCTGCTGTTTTAATGATTCTACTTGGTACAGTTCATTCACAAGTCGTGTCAACAAACTTTGCAAGACCATTAACATCCCCAAGAATAAAGAAAAGAAGGTATGTATGTACATTAGTTGATTAAAGTGCATAAATACAACTTTTGAGACTTATAAATGTGAAATTGAAAGACACAATGCGAAACCGTAAGTGACACTGAAATGCCTTCAAATATCAATGCTTATTGTATATTTTCCGCAATTAATACGATTTATACGTTACTTAGTAGGCATAAAACGCCTATAAAGCTATAGCAATGAGAGTATGACTTTAAAACTATGTCGATTTAATACTTTGAATATACCTCTGTCAGATTTGTTCAATTTGTGACAAGATCAGATAACCAATATCAAATACGGTACTACATGTATGTGATGTGATAATTGCTATACCATTACCATGTGATAATAACCAGGCAAAGATCTTTACCAGTAACACATTGCCACTTACACATGTACGCTACACTGCCAAAATGCATGAAATATGTTCATGTATTGTTTTTCATTGCAGAAAACTAAGACGCAAAAGTTTTGCCAAGAGAAACACAAGTTCCTCACGGAATAGCAATGAGAGTACAAATTTAGATTCTAGTTTAGAAGGAAATAGCAAAAAATTTTACAGTGAGGGTCGAAAAAAAGTGTTTGGTAAATGGAGAAGTAGCAGAAAAAGTGAGAAAAGTGAAAGCGAAGAGGATGGAAACCAAGAAATAATTGAGGAAAAAATTGCATCAAGTGACAATGCTGAGGCTGTTAAAAAACAAGGAGTGAAAAATGTTGACAAATCAACTGATGTGACGTATATGAGGAATGAAGATGATGAGGAAGCAGTATCTGGTCGTACTACAGAAGATGTTTCTGCATTGAATACACCAATAGAAGATTTGGGCATCGATGGTGAAATTATACTCGCAAGCCAAGATGAATTTGGTCCAGGGAATTCTGAAACATACCCAGCTGCTGCTGTGGCTGAAACTATTAATGTTGATGAAGAATTGAATAAAAGGATTGCAAAATCTTTTGAAGCATCTGAAGTGAATAAGCCGATGCCTGCTAAAATTGTAACTGAGTCAGCTGAAGAAAATAAAGAATACATTGTCTTGGAAGGAGAACAAGTCACAAGTAATATCGGCACAACTGGTAAGTTTGAAGTCTGTGAAATTTATACCTGAGCTTGACATAGTAGACAATCATATATACATAATCCATTTTTGTCTCCTGTATAGGCCATCACACTGTGATAATTACAATTACATGTATTATACATCTGTCACCGTACAGCGTGCCATAATTTTTTGGTATTGTACTAGGCATTTTCATCCTACCATATTAGGAAATGTGAATTCCAAATATGGAACCATTACGCGTAAGCATCCTCTAATAATAAAAACAAACATGGCAGCCCCCAAGGTTTGACTGGATCCCATACAAAGAAGTTTGCTCAATCTGGCCTTGAGAGGAAAAGATGTATAATAATAAAGTTATTACGAGGATACCGAAAAGTTTGTGGTCGCATCAACCTCTGCTGCGCGTCTGTCGATACTCCCGCTGTCTTCATGCATACTTTTCAGCATCTTCGTAATAAGCTCATATACATATAGCATGTCACTCACTGCACTAGC